TGATTCAAGCCCAATATTGCTGCAGCAACGCTAGGATCTGGGTAAAGAAAAGATAAGAAAAGGAAGGAGGTTGCAGTGCCTTTCCAGGATTAGAACTGGAAAATACAAGAACGCTAAGAAGGGAGCATGTGCTTCCTATCCCATCAGAAACTTCCTTGGGCTAAAGTGACCTTAAACTACAAGGAGATTTGAACAAAATAGCTTAATTGCCTTGATACCTTCCATCTCAGCAGAGGCAGCACTATTTGAATAATACATCAAGTGTTCAAACCTTTTGCATTTATTTTCTCCTTCATCCTTACAAAGTAGGCCATTATTATTATCTTGCAACACATAATGGTTTGTCTAAAGCTTGCCTCCATCCCCAATGATCTGAAGCCTCACACTGTGTTCATGCAGCATGCTCCAACCAGCAAACTCTACAGATTTACTCGTTTTCTGGGTACATTAACCAACGAACTGTATTTGCTTAAGAAACCAAGTCAACCACAAAAATGAGGGGTGGGGGAAGTTAACTCTAACAGGTTTAGCAAATTTAGTGTGCATTTGGTATGCGTTAATTCAGCCTGATTACAAGACTATAGATAGTGAGTTCAAAGCTAAACTGAGCATGGACTTCAGTTTTTCTCAATTTAATGTGTCTTCACTTTTTCCCCAAACAACCTAAATACATAGTGGAACATTATGCCCTTGAAGGATTTGCTACATAATAATCAGTAAGTACTTCAGCCTTGCAGCCTGTGGCAACATCCACACAATATCTATAAACCTGGTTACTGAATTAACTGTTTTTCAGGTTCACAAAACACAGTGAACTATAAACAAATCAACATTTGTTTGCAACATGCTAAAACACTTTTTAAAAAGCCTATTCAAACCAAGGGTAACAATCAATTTTAGCATGTTGCATTATTACTGTTATTTAGCTCTGTTGCATTGCTATTGTGTTATTGGTGAATATTAAACTCACCTGCCTTGCAAAAGAAAACCTATGATTTAAAAACTCTCCAGAAACTCTATTTTTATATCATACTTGCTTGTGGTTGCAGATTGGAAAATTCTTGGGAGAAGTAGACGGTTCTGTTACAACTCAGCTCACAAACATGGGAATGCTCAGAAAGTAAGTGTCGTCATCTCTTCCTTATATTCTCCTCCTTTCAAAGAAGACTCTGTTTGAAGCAAAATGCTTCACAGCATAAATAGGTATAATCAAAACAAGGATGGAGTTGCCTAAAGACCCATAGACACAAGAGCTAAAAGCAGAATCTTTCAATGCTATTTGTGTAGGATCAGGACATGTCCATAGAACAGTGTTTCGCAACCTTGGTGACTTTAAGTCCTATGGACTTCAACTCCCAGAATCCCCCAGCCAACCCCTGGGAGTTGAAGTCCACAGGATTTAAAGTCACCAAGGTTGAGAAACACTGCCATAGAAGAACCCAACGGCATGATGGATAGGGTGACGTTGTCATCAGAAGAGAGTTTTGAACATCTAGTTGTGGTCTGGAATTTGGCATCTCAGATCTAGAAGCTCTAGCCACCTGCTAGAGTTCTTCCACCACTTTGAAGGTGTCCCAGAGCTATCATGGCTGCTAGTGGCCCTTGAGAGTATTGTGTGTGTGTGCATGCGCAAGCCATAGTTTCCCTCAGTGTAGCCACTAGTTTTTTAAATGAGAATTGATGCTGGGATGGGGATCCTGAGCAAGAACTTTGANCCAACACTGAAAGTCTTTAAGAAGATGTTGGATAGCCATTTGTCTGAAACAGTAGAGGGTTTCCTGCCTAGGCAGGGGGTTGGACTAGAAGACCTCCAAGGTCCCTTCCAACTCTGCTATTGTATTGTATTATTCCATTCCATTCTATTCCTTCTACTATTCTATTCCATTCCATTTTCTATTCTATTCTATTTTCCATTCCATATTTGACAAGGCCATAGCTGTAGAGTTTTGTTACAGAGAGTCCGATATTTTGCAGTGCAAACCAGAAGTGCGTAGATGTGCTCATTTTTATACAATACCTTTCTTTGGGCAAGGATGAGAACATGCCTTAGTTGAAAGTACAGTGGGCAGGTGCTGGAGAAGGCCAGCCATTGGTGCAAGAGAAATAGGAGACAAAAGGCCATCCGGGGCAGAAAAACAGAATTAGCGTCTCTTCCTAGGACTTTAATACTATTATCTGGGTTGTTTTTTTTTACTCCTCTCTAACACCCTGGTTACTAGAGGAGAATCTGCAGTGATGTGCGACTATAGAAAGCTAAGAGGTAGTAAATCCTTGACGTACGACCACAACCGGCCCCCAAATTTCCATTGCTAAGCAAGACTGTCGTTAAGTGAGTTTTGCTCCATTTTACGTCTTTTCCTTGCCAGGTTTGTTAAGTGAATCACTGCAACTAGTACCACAGTTGTTGAGTGAATCTGCCCCCCCCCATTGACGTTGCTTGTCAGACGTTCTCGAAAGGGGATCACAATGACCCCCTGGGGCACTGCAACCGTCATAAGTACAAGTCAGTTGCTGACCGCCCGAATTTTGATCACATGACCTGGGAGTCAGGGTTTCCAAATAGCATCCAAAATTAAACCAGAGTCCGAGGCAAAGGATTGTTCAAAGTTCCTATTGATGAAGAGAGCCATGTTGGCACATCTGGGGAAACCCGAATCTGAAAGCTTCCTGGTTTCCCCCACCTGGTTGAAAGTTCAAGATCCCCCCCCCCCCCACATCCACCAGTCCATCCCAGGGTCCAATCTCCCACTGCCACACTGGCAGCTTCCACCCATCCAGTTCCGGTCAGGTGCAGAGGTGCAAAGA